AAATATATTAATATTTTAAAAAATAAAATGAAGAATAATTCAAAGATAAATTTTATATTTTATCATGATAGATAAATTGAGATAAATTGAAAATGGGGTTCCAAATGCCAAACCTCTTTTTTATTGGCTTTCTTAAGACCAGAACTCAAATTTTAAGCGATTGGAGGCTTCGAGCTGGGCGCGGATTGCAAGCACTGGAGAACGACCAAACATGGTTTGCAGCTGTGGCTCTAATCATTCAAACTCAAAAATATTTCCTGCGTTGGAGCTAGACATGACTGGCAGGCACTGGTGAACGTTTGTAGCTATGGACCAAAATATTTTTGCTGTTATGCAGTCTTTTTTTCCCTTTGCTAGGCAAATTAGGATTATGGGTGGGGGAAAAACTGAAATACCCTTAAACTATTTTATTAAAATAAGCACAGGTCTGCCCCTGCTTACTTCACTGCAGCTCTGCTTCAGATTAGAATAAACTTCCTTTGCTGCTCACTCTACTTAACCTTCTATTTTTAGCTATGCATGCTAGATTTTGCTCTCAACGAAAATGGAAGATATGGATAATTTTATCAGAATACTATTGCATTAGTCCAAAACAGGTAACGGCTGGATCTGATGACCAGCAGTTGGCTTGTGAACTGAGAAGAATAGTTAATAAGCCCGCTCTGTCAGTAAATTCTTTCTTTATTAGATTTAAATGAGATTTTGACTTTTAACCGGACACAATGGCGAACAAGAATTCATGTAGCCGACCCCACGTAGTGGGACAAAGGTTTTGATGTTGTTGTTGTTGTTGTTCTATCAGTAAATTCTTTTGGCAAAAATCTCATGGTTGCTCGTATCTTTCAGTTCCTTTAACCGGAAGAGATGAGGTCTGATACTGCAGAACAATTTAACTTTTTTCACAAGCAGAAGAAACTAGATTAATGCAGCTGCAGTGGACATGCTATAAAGCTTCCTATCTAGACAAATTATTATGTGCGGTGTCCGGATCGTCCGGAGGCGAATCCTGATGCGCCACGTCATCCGGGGTCGGGGTGGCGTGGCGCGTCTTGATTCTCCTCCTGACGAATCCATATTACCCCCTATCTAGCGATGGATTCGACAAATCTTATCCTGTATTTCCTCGCTGTTTTTGCTCGAAGGGATTCAGGGCGGTCCACAACCCAGAAAATCAGTGAAGGTGGCCAATCCATGCTGCACATTGCCTGCAAAATCTTGGAAGCTGTCGCTAAAGCTGACTATAAAGCGTGAGAGACTGCACATAGCTATTATGCATGTTGTCCTGAATCAATGGGCTTAAAGTGCATTGACCTTGCTTAGCAAGGATGGGGGAGAGGAGATGGAAGGCGAGCAGAGTCCTGTGGGCAGTAAGTTCGCTAGATGTGCAGTGCATTGAAAGGTATGGCTAATGGCTTTGTATATCTGGTTCTTTTGATTTTGATATGGCTAATATTGCATTTGAGCTGCAAATTGGTGCTAACTGGATGCAGTCGGCAGTTTCAATGGTGACTGCTTGTAATTAATTTTTTTATTAGTTAAAATATTTTATCTAATTAAAATATTTTTTTAATTATTTTGCTAAAATATTTTTTCACTCATTAAAATATTTTTTAACTAATTAGTTAAAAAATATTTTAAAGTAAATTATTTAAGACTTAGTAAATACATTAAATTTAACCAACTAAAAAAAAAAAAAAACACTAATTTATTTCTTAAAATTACATTCTATTGAAAAATTCAGAATAAATCATCTACTTTCAATTTTTGTATTTAACTAATAAAAAAAAATATAATAAAATATATATGCATTAAAAAAATTACTCAAGAAAAAAAAAAAAGGTTGCTACATCATTTTCTCAAAATTTAAATAAAAAAATTTCACAAAACTTTACCTTTAAAAATTCCTAACACTGCATTCAAGAGTAAAAAAATAAATAATAAAATGGCAATATAAGCAATCCAGCGCGAAAAAATAAAAAAGCATTAAAAAAAAAATATAAACAGTCGGCAGTTTCACTGCCGACTAGTTCAGCATCAGTCGGCAGTTTAAACGCCGACTATAAGAATTTCTAAATTTTTTTTATTATCATGATACAGCTAATATAACTTTTAATAATAATTAGTTATAAAATTTGTCCTTATTTTATCATTTATTCATAAGCAAATTAAGAATTATTGATCATTCACTCAACTTAAATATGTTATTCATTTGTACTTATGTGGAATGGACAGATTACCTAGCTTGAATGTATAATTTATTTTTATTTATTTTATGTGAGAAAATAAATTTATTATTAGGTGATTTTAAAAGATATTTAGAAGTTGTTTACTTAGAAAATATATATATTCTAAAAATATATGAGTTGTTTAGTTTGATGTAGATAAAATGCAAATAAATAATTTCTTAAATTTGTTATTACGCGTTTAAATTATAGCAAAATGCAATGAGGGGAGGATCAGATGATGAAGATGATGATCATGGACAGCGACGACAATAGTGGTACCAGTGTGATTAGTTTACTGAATCGACTGTGGTGATAGCTTCTGTAGGTAGTGAATGTGAGATTGCAGAAAAAATTATTCTATGCGGAGACATCTGACGCTGTTCGGAGATGAATCAGGATATGCCGTATAATTTTTTCGATGTGATGTGGCACATTTTGATTTGCTTCTGAACAGTTCAGTGTTTGCATAGAATAAATTCTCAAGGTTGCACGTGACGGGTTTTCTCTACAATTGAAAACTGCTCCGTTTGCATGAATTCTAATTTTATAAAAAATGCTTATTATCGAATTCCTTGAACAAATACTTTTATTTGATTTAATTCAAATAAATTAAAAAAAAAAATTAGAACTCTTTTTTAAAACATTTACTCTTAATACTCAATCAAATAATACTTAAAAGTTTAAAACTCATTAAATTTTAATTACATCCAATATAAATTCATTGTTTTATAAAATAATTTGTTACCTTTTGATTTTTAGTTTTTGTTTGGAACAATTTTTTTACTGATTTTTGAAGCAATTTTTTAGTAAAAAAACTTTTAAATTAAAAATTTTTATACTAATAAACTACTTTAAAAATCAATAAGAAAGCCGTCCCAAATGATGCATTAATATACATTATTGACTTGTATATGTTACTTCTCTGTTGTTCTTTAAACTAATTAATTACTTTAATTGGCCTATTCTAATAAATATGAAGAGCCTCTATCCTTTTATTGTTTTGTTGGGTACCAACCAAGATGACCCATTTTACCTAATGGTTTGAAAATGGCAAGGAGCCTAAAAAATATTGAAGGATTCTTTGCTTGATTTTGACTTTGCATTATTTTTAAAACCACCCTTAAAGAATATTTAAATATTTCAAAAAGTATTTTAATTATTTTTGCAAATTGCAAAAGTTTTTTATATTTACCTAATAAGTATCCTATACCCAACTTGTAATTTCATATTTTCTTTTTTATCTCCTTAGAATTTTGCATGAATATTTTAAGTTTTGGAGGTATTTATATATATGGTCATTTGGGTTGAATTAGAGATTCCATTCTCTTTCCTTACATTTGGGGTTTTTTTTATGCATCATAATTTTTTTTAATGGACATTTTAAAAGACTTCAAGAAATTTTGTAAATAATTTTTTTATAAGAATTATGTAATTCTATATTTACAAGAGTCAAAATGGAAATTAATATTTTTATAATTTTTTTTTGTTTTTTAATTATCTAGGTTTTATGATTTTTTCTAGTTTTAAAATATTAACTAGTGTTATGTTAAATTAATGGTTGAGATTTAGTTGAATGATCTTTTTGTTGTGGGATTTGATCTTTAGCTATAGATCGTACCATCGATGTTGATAAATGATGTGCCCTATTTCGATGATGTTTACCCGTCCAACGCATGTAAAGATACGAATTAGAGTAATTTAGGTATGTTTGGATTCGTTGAAGAAAATAAGTTTGAGTTTAATTTCATGGAATTGGGCACAATTGACGAATTAGTTTGATTTAACCATTTTAGGTCAATACGAGGAGGCTTAGGTGCTAAATTGGATTCCACCAGAGGCCGATGGAACCCAATTTGATCTCAATTAACTAAGCTAGCCTAGTTGAGTCACTTAATTAGGCCATTTTATTTAGGTTATTTTTTAATTAAATAAAATTAGATAAATTGCACAATTATCACATTAAATGAGCTTCAAATAGTAAATTGTCATGGAATAAACCTTAAACAACATTTATTTATAATGTTCATAAACTAATAAAAGAAAAACACTTTATTTTTATATGAAGAAATATATATATATATATATATATATATATATGTATGTATAAAGGCTTGCTTTATGTTTAAATTGTCATGGCTTTCTTATTGTTTAAAACGGCTTTCTCCTATTAGTCTAAAGTTTTGTTTGGGACGGCTTTCTTATTGTTTCTTAAAATAGCTTTTTAGTACAAAAATTAAAAGTTGTTTTAAGAAGCAAAAAAGAAAGCTGTTCCAAACAAAACCTAAGGCTTTCTTTGAAATGGTTTTTTATTATTTTATAAAACAATTTTTTTTTGAAAATTTTTAACTAGAAAGTACCTTTAGAAAACAGAAAGAAAATTGTCCTAAAAGAAACCTGAGAGAGTGCTAATACAATTATCATAAAATGGCCCATCAAAACCATTATGATAACAAGGATGATTATGATATTGAGTTGCAGTTAATGTTATTCATTTATGTTTTTCATTGCCTATATGATGAACTAGCTTATCAGGGCTAGAAATGAGAGTTCAGCACATACCATTAATGGCAAGTCCTTAACATTTTAATAAGGATATCATTTTACTTTCCTACATTACAATTTATTGCAGACAACTAATCAAATTTTACAGCATCTCTACTAGCATATACTTAAAGATATCAGATTTCACTTGCTTGTGCCATGGCATTCCAGATCTTTATCTTCAGATTGCAGAACCTGCCTCTGTATAAACTCATCTAATGGTTCTGATAGCACTCATTGAGCTGAAAGAGGGAAGCCAATTCCATGGCGAGTGGTAGGAAAGGCAAGAAACATCACACTGCAAATCGCCCCAATTGCAACAGGTAAAGCTGTAACTATCTGCTTCACATCTTCCGAAGGTGTCGGATAGAAGCAGGCCACCACATTCTGATCCACCAACACGACCGCCATGAAAACCATCACTGACATCAAAGCATGAACAAAGTCCACAAACCTTATCCTGTACTTCCTCGCTGTATCATCTGGAAGGGATTCGGGGCTGTCCACAACCCAGAAACCATTGAAGGTGGCCAATCCATGCTGCACATTGCCTGCAGAATCTCGGAAGCTGTCGCTAAAGCTGAGTATAAAGCAGGAGAGAACGCACATACAAAGCAAGCATGTGGTCATGAATCTGTTGGCTGAAGTGCACTGGCCCTGGTTGGCAAGGATGGGGGAGAGGAGCTGGAAGGCGAGCACAGTTCCTGTGGGAAGTAAGTTGGCTAGATGTGCAGTGCTTTGGAAGGTTTGGCTAATGGCTTTGTGTGCCTGGCTCTTTTGATTCTGTGACAATGCAGCTATGCTTAAAAGTGGCTGCTTTTGATTCTCTCCCTGAGCCTCCAGGTCTGCCATCTTCTTCTTCCCCTTTCTCTTTGATATTTGGATCTGTTTTGTAGATCAGGGAACTGGGAAGGATGAAGATATGCGCTTGTTGTCTCATGAGGGGTTTAAAAGGGCAATGGAGATTGAGCTTAACGGTCGGATAGAACTGCTTATAAGAGCTTGTTTTTCTGGTTTTAAAGAGGATGGTTTTGAAGGCTGGAGTAGAACAGATATCCGGCTGTTTTAGTTTTTGTTGCAGCCGAAATACTTGAAATCCGATCTTCTGGAAAACTTTGTGGTTGATTTACAGATTGTTTGTTTGTTATTTTGTTTTGTTGATTATTTACTAAACTTGCTTATTTATGTTGTTAAACCAGTTTTGCTTAAAATCAAGATCATTAAATGCAAATTAATTAAGGTAAATATTTTCTAAGTATGTAAGAAAAATTTGCTGCAGCAATGGAGAAGTTTTTTTTTTTTGTTAAAATGGTTAGAATGAGGTTATCTGATTGTACTTGTTAAGTGGATATTTGATTTTTGCTTGCATTTATAAATATTTGTGTTACCAGTTGTAAAAGGCAAATAGGATGTATTTGAGGACATTGCTTAATTATTAGTCCAATTATGTTTTTTCATTTTTTTCTCTAAAAATCTATATATTTTTTTAATTCTTAAAAATCATTAGTGATGTTATTTTGATATTATATTCCTTGATTCAAAATTTTCTAAATCCAACGAATCATCATTAATTAATTCTTAACCTCTTAGCAAGAGCTCGAGCTGGAGCATGATTCTACGAATTTGAGAAAGAGAGAAAATTTGAATAATGTCAAACAATATTCAATTTGAGCACGAATTGACTCGATTGATCCATTTTGACGAGCCGAACACAATGATGCAATGAATTTTACAAGACGAGACCTTAATCGAGAAATTTTATGGGAGAGAATTATGTGCATGAAAACTTCATCGCATGAATTTACAAAAAAAAAAAAAATCAACAAATTGACATTGATCTGATTATATATTTTTTCAAAACATACTAATAAACAAAATGTGACCAAAAGAATTAAATTTTGAATTGAGGTGACAGTGCATGGCTCGACCTGCCACCACACGCTATCGTACAATAATAAAAGATGTGGACTAACCTACAAGATATGTAAGAAGAGCACTCAAGTGACTGATGCCAAAAAAAAGATCAACAAGTTTGATTTTATGGAATTGGGTACAATTGACTAATTGGTTTGATTTAATCGATTATTTGGTACATAGTCCTCATTTTGAGTCAAGATTAGGAGGCTTAGAGGTTCGACCAGAGGCCAATTTGGGTCAGCCAGAAGCCAACTTGGGGTCAATTAGCTAAGCTAGCCTATTTGGGTTACTTAATTAGGCCATTTTAATTAAATAAAATTAGATAAATAACACAATTATCCCTCTAAATGGCTTCAAATACTAAATTGTCATGCCATAAACCTTAAACAAGATTTATTTATAATTTTTATTAACAAATAAAAGAAAAACACTATATTTTTATATGAAGAAAAGAAAAGAAAAACTATATTGTTTTTAAAAGTTGAAACAACTTCTACTATTTTAGAATAGATATCACCCTTCTCCTACTAATATAAGAGAGTATTAGTACAATATCATAAAATGGCCCATCAAAGCCATTATGATAACAAGGATGATTATGATATTAAGTTGTAGTTACTGCTAATGATGGCACTAATGATAGCTAGGTGTAATAATTAATTGTAGCAACTAAGAGAATGAGAGTTGGCTCAAGTGTTTTGGTTATCATAATGCAAGTCTTGTGGCAAGGATGATACTTAGGCTAATTACAATGATGTTTGATAACAATAGTGAGGACAAAAGAAGTAGAATGGTCTATAAATATGTGTTAGCTAAGTAATTTATGATGATATGAGGCTTGATGAATGATAAATATTTCAAAAAAGATGGCAATATTCATTGATAGTGATAAATAAAACAAAGTTTTAATGTGTGGAGAGTTATCTTTTTTTTATTTGAATCGTTAAATAAGTGATTTGAGAGTTTATTTATAATTTAATAAAGGGTGTTTCCTTATTCATAATACTGAAATTATCATTAGACATTTAAAGAATAAGAGTCTTCATTAGTTCTTAATATGCTCTTTGTATCATCAATCCAAAACAAGAGATTTAGCCAGACATAGAATAAATGATAAGCAAACTCATTTTACTTAAATTCATAGAAGAATAAAAATACAAGAGAGCGATATAATCATGAAGGATCAAGATATCTCCTCTACACTTATTTTTTGTTTACTTACAAAGTTACTTCAACAAATATAGGCTAAACACTTCAATGAATTGTATCTTGTACTTCCCTAGCCTTTCTTAGATTTTACACTAAGAGGAAACTAGAGAAGTACACTAAAAAAAGTATTAAATTTTACAACAGTGATTGAACTCATCTACAAATAAAACATGACATATATTTATAGGAATGCACAAAAAGGCAACTGGCATTGCAACGCTTTAAAGATTGGCATCGTGATGCCCTTAAAATGAGCTATCGCCACGACGCTGAATTTTCTATTCCACCGCAATGCTTGATGTTGTTGAATGGTTGCTTAGTGAACAATCATGCACGACCTTTCATTGGAACAACATGAGCCTTAGAAGTTACAACTGCAACACTGTGACACTATTGACATTTGAGCGCTGCGAAGCTCGATCAATGTGTGCGAAATTGTGGCTCCATAACATTTAAATTCATGAGAACTTGGCGCTACAAAGTTGACTTTCTAATGCAACAGTGTTGGAAACGCTGCAACGCTGGATGTATCGCCACTGAATGTCTCCACCACAATGCTACAAAATAGATAACATGGCATGCTATATCCAAAATGTGGCGCCTCAATGGTGTTAAAGGTGGTGTTGTGACACAGTTTCTTCCTACACCGCGATGTTGTAGGCTCCTTAATATTTTCTATCTTTTTAAAAAAAAAATTATGTACAAAATCAACTAAAACAACACATTTTTACTAAAAATAAAATATATTAAACAGTACATAATTTACACTTATAATCACATAGGAAAAAAAAAACCCAAATCTAAAAATGTAATAAAATAACCAAAAATTTCAATGCCATCCATATAATAAAAGAAAAAAGGAGTCAAACAATCACCTAGGTCCATCACAACAAAAATAAACTAGAAATTTTAATTAAGAAGTAACTTTCTACAAAACATTTTTAGGTACACAAAAGTGATGCACCATAATCTAAATAGGAAGGATTAATCTTTTAATCATTTAATAAACAATAACCAAAGCTACCTAATTTCATTTATCAAAAATAAATAACAAGAATAATTATAAATATATATTATTCATTTCCCAAAAAAATATATTCACTACTTAGAATCTATACAATAGTACCACAATTATGCTTTGATACCAATACTAAATTATTATTGTTTTTCGATAATATAAATAATACAAATTATTTGATTAGAAAAATGTCAAAATCATAATATCTTTGAAATTATAAATAAGGTAAAGGTTCCTTATAGCAAGATAAGTAAATCTCCAAATAGGCTCGATAGATGAAAATAGCTATACGGCCTTCAAATTCGATCTTTTCTTTTCTCTCCCCTCTCTTTTCTCTCTATTTTTCTCTCACACCTTTGTTAACAAAAATGTTAAGGGAAAATGCATTTAGTTAATGACTTAAGATATTTATAATATTATTGATATAACATCAAAAATTTATCTTGATCGGGCATGAATGTTGAGGCAAAATTGAGTAAAAAACTTTCAAAATTTAATTTGGAACCTTATGAATTCTGATTTTAGCAAACTTATAATCAAACTGAACGTCTCAAAAAGGAAAACATAACGACACCAAATTCGACTCAATCTGAGCCCACATAAGACCAAATCAAAGATCCTAAGTGCATTTAGATGGTTCAAACTATAAATTGAATGACCAAATAGTTTTCGAATAAGATATGCTTGTCGTTGAATCGAGCGGCTCGATGAGACAAATCTAACGAGCCTAAGATTGGTGAAATCTGATATCATTAAGACATTCAAATGTCCAATAAATTGTTCACGATCAAGAGGATCAACATCGGCCGTCCATTCAAACCACTCCCAACTTACCCTTAATCTCCTTCAATTCATATTTACTGGTCATGTCACTATCAACTTCAAATAAACCTCTTATTTCTCATGGATGGGGGACCTCAAGTAAGGAAGAGAAGAAAGAGAAAGAAACTAGAGTTCTCTTGGCAGTAGACTCCTCCTCGACCACTATCGAACCACCGACTATCGTCGGGCTTCTGCCCAACCACCGAAAAATGCCGTGTGAAACCCCTTAAGTAAAAGAGGCTAAACTCTTAAACATCAAGGTGCCTTTTTGTGTAATTGTTGAAATTTTATTAAGAAACTCTGCAGTTAAACATGCTCATCTCGGAATAATTCTGGAATGGGTGACCTACTAGAAAGTTTCACCAATATGATAAAACTGTGAAGCTCTTAGCCTAAAGTTAAAATTTTGGGTTGTTACACGACAAATTTCTGCTAGGCCACCAACTAACGCCTGACTTCTGCTATGCTACCAACTGACACTACGCTAGACTTCCACCCAGTCACATACTATGGTCTTTTTTATCTCTGTCACTAGACAGCGGTCTTTCTTATCTCTATCGTCCGCCGACTAAGGCCATTCCGACCTCTGTCACCAGACAATGATCTTTTTGACCACTATCGACTACCGATTATATATGGTCCTTTCGACCTTCCTTACAAGGCTACGATCCTTCTGACCTCCATTGCCAGACAATGATCTTTCCGGCCTCCATTGCCTACGGACTACAGTCCTTCCGACCTACATCACCAGAAAATGGTCATTCTGCCCTCTATCATCAGATTATAGTCTTTCCGACCTTTATCACATGTCTACTAAGGTCTTTCCGACCTCCGTCACTAGACAATAGTCTTTCTGATCACTGTCGCTCGTCGACTACAGTCCTTCAAACTATCTTTAAAGGAAAGCTCGTTAGCTCACATCCAGCGCAAGATATTATGTTTGAACAATCAAACTACTATATAGTGTTAGCTTCAAACCTTCCTTTCTTATGTAAATGTCACAATCAAAATGTAACATTGAATACTCTATTTTGTTAAATACAAGAAAAATTTATATAATATCTATAATTTCAAAAGATCACAATTTCATATCTACATGGTCAAATTCAATAATAATATTATTAAAATGTTCTGAAAATTCATATCTATTGTATAAAAAGATACACGATAAAATTGTTGTAAATCAGAAGAAAATATTCTTTATCA